TACGCGGTAGCTTTAGCTGGCGGTCCAATACAATGCGCAGTGGTTGCGGGCCGTGCCACTGCCTTGCGGTCAGCTGGGGGTTATCGTGCAGCGCCGTATTATACCCGACCATGATCGCGGCTTCTTCGGTACGCCATTGATGTACCAGGCTGCTGCTGAAATGATTGCTGAGCTGGGTACGGCTACGATCTGCGGCTGCCATATTCCCCTCGGCCGACACGGCCCACTTCAATATAATATAAGGACGCTGCTGCTGGTGGAAACAGAAGAAACGACGGTTCATCCATTTGCCTCCATCCGCAAGCATTCCATACTGTACTGTTGCGCCCGCTTGTTCTAATAAAGCAATACCATGGCCATCCACCTGTGCAAACGGATCAATATTGGCGATGATTATGTCTTTTACTTTTTCCCTGATCAACAGTTGCGCGCAAGGAGGTGTTTTGCCAAAATGAGCACAGGGCTCCAGGCTTACATACATGGTGCTTAATGGGATGAGATGCTTGTCTTCCGCCGTTACACTGTTGATGCAATTTACCTCGGCATGTGCGTGACCATATTGCTGATGCCATCCTTCACCAATAATTCTACCCTCGTGTACCAGCACCGCCCCGACCATAGGATTGGGTGCCGTATGGCTTTTCCCCCGCTGTGCCAGCTCCAGGCAACGCTGCATGTATTCTTTGTGCATTCCGGGTGCAAAATTACACGTAACCACCTATTTAACGATAGCTTTGTGTCATGCCTTCCTATAAAGATGTTTTCCATGAATTACGGCGACAGCTACAACCTTTGTATGATGCCAGTGAGGCGGCGGCCATTGCCAGAGAAGTATTACTGGAGGTAACGGGTATTGGTTATGGTGAAAGCTTGCTGCGACCGGATAGTCCACTAACCACAGATATGCAGGCGGCCATTGCAACTATGAGCAAGGAGCTGGTGTTGGGAAAACCGTTGCAGTATGTGCTGGGCTATGCCTGGTTTATGAACCGCAGATTCCGGGTAAATGAACAGACTCTAATACCAAGGCCGGAAACGGAAGAACTGGTGCAATGGATCATCAACGACCGGAAAGATCAGGAGGCGACGTTTTCTATTTTGGATATTGGCAGCGGTACCGGCTGCATCCCCATCAGCCTGCAACTGGTTTTGGATAAAGCCATGGTTACATCCTGCGACATCAGCGCAGGGGCATTGGAAGTCGCGGCTATCAATGCAGCAGCGCTGAATGCCACCGTGGAATGGTTACAGCTCGATTTTCTAAAGGAAGCCCAGAAGCTGGGGATGTTTGATTGTATCGTTTCCAACCCGCCCTATATCCCGGCCCATGAAGTGGCCTCCATGCATGCCAATGTACGTGATTATGAACCTGGCACCGCGTTGTTCGTCCCGGACAATGACCCGCTTTTATTCTATAGGGCGA